GGGGGGGGGGGAGAGAGACGGGGGACAGGCAGGATGTCAGGAAGCAGGAGAGGGGGAGCGTGAGAGAATGAGTGCGAGCGAACGCATGCATTTCCCGGATGTGCAGGTGGGGCCGGACGAGCAACACGCAAGTCCATGTCGAGATGCATGTGCGCGCGGAAGATGCATGGCTCACCCAGGCGGATGTACAGGACGTACTGCACGGCGTCCCTGGGCTGGGTGTACAGGATGCTGCCCCTCATGCTCAGCCACATGATGGCGCTCTCGCAGATCAGGCAGCTAACCAGGATGCCCAGGTAGCCCCGGCCATGGTCCACCAGGGTCACTGTGCACGACTGGCCAGAGCCAAAGGGCAGGCCGAAGAGCACCACGGAGAGCACTACCAGCCTGTAGGGTGCCAGCAGAGAGGCACAGCTGACGCACTGTCGACACCTCACACACACACACACACACACACACACACACACACACACACACACACACACCTGTAATCATATCTTTATGGGGACCGTTCATTCATTTCTATGGGAAAAATGCTAACGCTAACTATGGCAACCTTAACCCCTACCCAACATAACCACAAGTAACCAAACAAAATGCAGGAGTTTTTTTGCATTTTTAGTTTTTTTATTATTGCGGTCACGGATTTTTAGGAAATTAAGTCATCCCTCAAAAATGTGTAGCTGTACACGTTTGCAATCAAATGCGTACAGCTAGACACACTTAGCCCAGGAAAGGGCAGCTACTCTCCTGGGGACCGCACTGCATCCTGATGACTCACAGCCTTCCTGACATTCAGATGCGCACTTCAGTAACAGCTTTCTTGATAAAGTCCATGGCGACGCCTCACACCTCCCAGGCACAAGGTGGCGCACTCCTTAACATAGAAACGGCACTCACCAGGCGCTGTGGAGCAGGAAAAGGAAGAATGCCGGCAGCACCAGGTCATCGCTCCCAACTGACCAGCGCCGGCGAAACATCACCATTCCCGGCATCACTGCCCTGCGGAAAGGAACAAAGGGATGTACACAAGTGATATGCTGGTGAGGGCAAAATGGGACAGCATGCTTCCACCAGCATAAGGCCAGGCAGGCACGCCCATTTCAATTTCCCAGCACGTTCACCATGAGTGACTGCAGACAGGCTCAACAGAATTGGGTCAGCGGAAAAACCCTAAAAACAGGAAATGGTGCTGAGCCAAGACCCCGCCCATGGAAAGAAAGCCTTGGCACTAGGACCCAGCTGACATTCCTCAGAACACCACCCTCCCGAAAAACAGCACCATGCATAAAGAGACAGAAGATCTCAGGAACAATCAAAGGCCAGTTCCAGAGGTGAGGCCTGCATACCTGTCACAAATAGGCTGCCCTTCCTCAAAAATTGCAGTGGTAGGCCATCATCATCATCATCATCATCCCCACCTGTTAAGATGACAGAGAATGGAGTGGACTGCCCCTGCATTTTCTTGCATGACATCTGACGGGCTATTTCAAATCCAGGATAGAATGCCCGCCCCCCCCCCCCCCCCCCCCCAAAGACCTCTGTCACATTAAATTCAAGATAAATGTCAAATGCAAACAAAAGGCATCAAATAGTGCACTGATGTCATAAATACAGAAGAATT